CGCCATTTACAGACCAGATTGTAAACCAATAACATAACCTTTAAAAGCTGCCATAATCATCAAAATCTGATGAATTATTTTGATGACCCATTCAAAACATCTGGCTTAATCCTCCCTCAGTCCGGAACAGTCCCATCTACTTAAAATAATGTCAAGGTTTTGAATGGGATGACAGCTATATCAGCGCATATGGGAAGTGATTGATTTTAGACACCCACCCAAACCTCAAAAACACAAATGTGAAAGCCATAAAAATGGAGAACAGTTTCCTTGTTTTGAAGTGTTAAGGGAAAGAGAGATGACCTGTAAGTGCTAGGTTTTCCGCTTTCGATCGTCTTTTGTTTTTCTTGGCTGTCAAAATGAAAGTGCTGTATTAACTAAATTGGTAGGCCACCAGATATGTGCAGATTTGAGACTTTTATAAGCACATACCTTGCATGTAAATGCTTAGGAATCCCCAGTGGAATTAGGCCATTGTGAAATACGGTAATAAGTTTGGTTCCGGGAGCTCATTGCGAAATGTCTTATTACCGGGTATCTATAAATTACATTACAAGCAAGACTTCACCACATTGATTTTAATGCACTTCATTGCTTTAATCAAGCTCTTTTAAAAATGTTATCAGAGGTCTTTTTTTAGCCTTCAAGGGCTGGATTGTTTGTCATTTTCAACTGGTATAAAACTATCATTTAATTGTGCACTATTTGAGTTATAAGTACATAAAACAAGAAAAACAGATTTGTTTTAAAGGTAAAGACCAGTAATGGTCATGCGATTGCATTGTGAAAGAAACGTTGTGGAATCGATCAGAAAAGGTTGATCATCTAGCATCTAGCATCTGCAAGGTTCTGGAATCATCAAAATGATAAGAAATTTGGCCCATTCTTCGTAAAGTTACAAGCACTATACACAGAAAGATGTATATGGGACTACCCTATCTCTCTCACCAGACCATGAGAGAAATAAATTTACCAAATATATGAATTAGTAGGCGGTTTCCCGGCAAATTTTTTATCATCATGTATTAGTCAAAACATATTCTTTCACATGATTGGTAATGAGAGCTTCCATTTCATTTTTTGAAATTGGGGCGTTGCAAATACTGGTCTTTACCTTTAAATAAATTTCATGATTGTTTTTGGTCCATACCATAGTGAAAGTTTAGAACAAGCATTTCGACTGATGAGATCTAGAAGAACTTTAAGCCTGCATTAGCCCTTCTGAATCCTGTATTATTTGAATTGTTCTGTGTTACATTTTTTGTTATTACCTCACCTAAATTCCTCCCTCTTCTTTTATTTCAAGCTTTATCTCATTTGTTCTTTCCATTTTCCTGTTTTTCCAATTCTTTGTTGATTTTGTACATAATATATGTAGGTTTTTGTGTGCAATATTATTCCATTTTTTTAATATTACTGCATTACATTGAACCAATTTTCAATGCATTTCAGTTTAATGGAACTTTTTTCAATCTTTAATGAATCCAATTCATGTCAGACCTTGGCTGCTATTTCGAAAATATGTGTATGTTTTTTAATCAATAAACCAGTTCAAATCACATCAAATCAAATTAAATCAAATGAATAATACACAAGAGAGAAACAGTAGGTCTATACAGTGACAATCTGAATTGCAATGTACCTCTTTCTTTTTGACCTCGTACGACCCCCACTAGAGCTGAACGAATGTCATTGAATATTCAAGATTTGATCCAAGCGAGCTATGTGCAGCCAATTCCACTAGCTAGGTCACTATGAAACATGATATTTCTCTTGGGAAACTGGGCCAAATTTCTCCCTCTCTCAAGTAAAAAAAAAATGGAATGCAACGTGCATACGAAACAGGCATTGATCTAATCACAAATTCTAATTCATGGGCGAGAGTCGCGAGACAATGAATCTAGAAGAAATGATGGCTAAAGGCTAAAGCACGCTACTGATGATATTTGTTAGCTGACCTTTTTTTTACACAAGCCCTTGTTGCTTTGGTTTGTTCATGGCAATGATTCAGATTTCAGAGCCTTTAAAAAAACAGAAAGAAATGTTTTGCACATATTATTTCAATTTGTTTCAAAATATTGCATCTGATGCCCGAGGGATTTTAACTCTGAGAATAAGCTCCAAAATCCTTCAATTGGCAACATGTCTAAAATTTAAGATTTCTGGTTTCCAGGATAACTGGTTTTCCAACAACATTTGGACAGTTCCTTTCCGTTTTTCTCAGATATGTGACTTTTTCTAAGAATAATATTGCCCATTTAGTACCCCCAATAAAGGTCGACAAAAGATCTGCTAATTTGAAGGAGAAAATGTGCTACATTAGATAATTCCTTTGCTGAATACTAATGTAGGATTAACATTATTTTAGATTGATTTTAAGGTGACTCAGATGGTTTTGTTTAGAGAGCTCGATCCTTTCGGTCCTAACTATTGATTTCTTATGATGTAATCCCAGCATCGCTCGTCTGTTCTGGTCTAAGCAATCAGACAACGGCTTTGGCTGCCCTCCGAGGGCAATGGCACCTGCATGGTCCATGTAAGATGCATGTTTATCATTCTATGAGCTATATCCTGCAAATAATACGGAACAAGTAAATGTACCAGCAGTTTTGTTGTATGGATATTACCTCCTATTTGCTAGGAGATTACATGTGTAGTTATTTAAATACGGTAGTGAACATTCACACTTTCAATGAACATTCTCACAAGGCACATAAATATTCTAATGGCTTCATACTACAGAGTAGATTTGGTTTAGGCTTGAAATCAGCAGTTGCCTGGGTGCCACTGACCACTGACCACTGAAAATACCACTTGGCAACCTAAAAGTTCTGCCTTTGTTGCCCTGGTGGCAACTAAAAATAAATGTGACCGCCATTATTATTCAACATGTATGTGGATTTTCTCTAATACACTGAAAATGACAAACAAACATTACATTGGCAAGCTAAGCAATCGCCCCAGTTGCCCGGCTGGCAACCAAATTTACTAAAAGGACAAGAAAGAGCCTTTGCTTATGGTTCTCTTCCATACTTAATTTTCAGATTTCGCTCTCATCCTGTTATTCTCCTTTTCGTTTTGATTAAATAATTTTGCATTATTAATCTCATCTCCCCTTCATTCATTCCCTATTCCTGTTTACCAAAGAGTCTGATAATATTTTCAAGCGGGGCATTTCTGTCACAGCAAATGAGTCCAAAATATTTTTTGTTTACAGGGCATTTTTTTTAAATTTGCAGTACCGGTATGTGCTTTTTGAAGAGTGAAACTTCCTTGCTGACATTCTTTTTAAAATCAAGCCAACTTTTTCTTTTTACCAGACCTCCTATTTTTGGAACTATTTAGGGTTTTATCCAGAGCTGAAACACTGACCACTGGCACTACCTAAATTTTTCGCATCTCAAAGTTTGCAATCAGAAACACTCTCTGTTACAAATTTCCCCTAAGATTGTATACTCCTAAATGTCTTAAAGTTGCTCAAGAATGGTATATAGAGGGCAGCGCGCGGACGTACACACAGGAGCGTTATACCCATTGGCTCAGTGTTATGTAGTGATCGACAAGTGAACATCTTTAAACACAGGAGCAAGATGCAAAACAGTCCTGCAACTGATCTTGTCATCCTGAATAAATATGTTCCCAAAGAACATCCTTGGGGCATGGTGTCATGTATTAAGCCTATAGGGTTCAGAGAATCCAGCACTCAACAGGTTAAATCAAAACCAAAATGAAAACATCACTACTACCCTCCCACACAGAGACAAATGACTTGTAATCCGAGGAAATTGGACCACAGAGGCTGCGGCATCAAAAGCCTGACTTGTAACAGAATTCAGGGAGCTAATCAGATTAGCAGTCCCATACACTGACTTCCATGTAATCCTTCCCTCACAATAGGGGGCTAACTCAATGGGCAGTCAATGGGGCCTTTAATGAGTTGAGATGGTTTCATGCTGGGCATTCGCCTGTGCAGAAGACACTTGAGATTTTGAATGATGCAAGTTGTAGGACGCCTTTGCTATTTATTTCCTTGAGTGTTACCTGCAGGTCTCTTTGAATAGACAATGTAGCTACATGTAGGATACATGTCGCCATGTAGAGGTTTTGTGGTTGAGTGGATATGTCGATCACAAGGTCCGCGGTTCGAGTCCCGCCACGGCACTAATGTCCTTTGGCAAGACATTGATCTACATTTGCCACACCTGGCAGGAATTAACTCCCTGAAATGCTAGAGCGCCTTAATGGCAGCCTTGCTAAAGCCAGGGTAAGGAGGTGACGGACATGGGCGCTATATAAGAAGCCACCGTTATTATTATTACTATGTGGTAGGGGCAATGGTCTTTTCATTGAGCAATGACTCACAGGTTCAAGACTCGGTTCCTGTTCCAGCGCCCTTGAAAAAAGGTGTTCTCACAAGACGCGATATCTGATGCGAATGCGTATGCGCTATTGTTACTACTGTCTTTACTTTTGGGCAGTGTGTAAAAAGTCATGAAAGACAAAGCAACAACATCAACAACACCACATTGCCTGACAGAAGTGTAGAACAACAGGGGCATCAGAAATGCTGTTGTAAACTGCAAAGCCCAATGCCCTTGAAATTGACAGTCTGTGACAGCTTCAGAAACCTTGATGCGATGATCTTTGTAACCTTTGACCTTAGCTCTATCATTATAGGTACATATATGGGTTACATCGAGCTACAGGGGGCACCCCACCTTCCCCCATCCCATCAAATATTTAAAAAATTGGGGAAAGAGGAGAGTAAAGGAAATAATGTGCAAGTGGGAGGCAATGTTCAAAAGAAGATACAACTCGTTCGTAAACCCTCCCTAAAACTCTATAGCCTTGTTTCCTCATAAATCATCACCCCATGAGGGCTATTATCCCAATGTTGCCCCCCCCCCCCCCCCATGGATGGACACAGGCTACGCCATCGCCTATCAGCACACATCAACACCAGACACACAGTCACACTCTCATGTCTCATCCATAATTACCTTTGGTACATTTCTGAATTTGGACGGGGTCGTCATTTTGCCGTTCTTTCCGCTCCCGGCAAGTTAGGTAGTAATAATAATCCACAAGAATCTCAAATGCTTTATGGCGAAAATTCCTTGTATATCTCCAAACGACGTACAGATGTACACGGCCGAGGACAATTCACAAAGTTATGAGGTGGTAGTTTGAGAAAGAGGAAATTCACAACTTTAGTTGTAGATTGCACATCAGTGAGGGGGAGGGAAGTACGCAATAGACGGTGAGACAACGGTGGGTATGTTAATTGATGAAATCAACATCCAAGATGGCTGCTTTCTATGACTCTAGGAGGCTTCACTCGTCAAACGACAGATGCCGATTCCAAACATTAATCAGCTATTGCAGGTCCGTGGTGGGGGTTGAGGTAGGATAATTGCACAGGAATTAGCGCTCAGCCGAAATTTACATGTAGATACAAAAGTGGGCTAATCGCATGGCGTCGATGCGACTGAGAGGAGAAGTTGACAGCAAGTTTTCAGGGCGAGATGTTGCGAGGTATCGACAAGGCGTTACAGGATAGATGAAGAATATCCTCTAGGAGAGCTGGATTTGAGATCAACCACTTGTTTGGGCGACTGTTGATTTCGGCAAGACGTGGAGGTGTTCAATAACACAAGAGTATGAAGCCAAACACATGTGGATTCTGAAGTCTATTCAAAAGAACATGCTCCTCAGGCCAACCTGCTGAATACTTGTAACACAAGTCGAGGAATCCTCCAATTTGAAGCTCAAAGCTTTGATAATATCCTTCATAGATTATCCAAAGCTCAATTAATCCCCAGCATCACCAGCTCAACCAAACCATATATATACTTCCACCGTGGATATATATCTCCCGCGACCACAGGAATATAGGAAACATATACAGAAGTCATATACCTCTCCACCGCTGACTATACTACCAATGCTACTGTGTGTTAACCAATGCAAGGCAGATTGGCGGCATTAGAGCATGTGTGTGGGGGTGGGGTAGCGTGCATAGACACTACTGCATACACACACACAGGTACACACACAGAGGGCACTATAGCACGCTACTGTGAATATATACCTCAGTAAGTGTGCATATATGTTTCCACTGCACTGAGCAGAGTATACTCATTATGCTGGATGGCGCGCTCTGCTCTCTGCCACACACCCATTTTTTCCCTCTCAGTGATGAGGGGGGTTAGGAGCAAAGGTCCGAGGGACTGGCATTATCCATTGATATGTAAATGAGATGAACTCCCTCTCTGACTCTAATCAATATTCTAGCTTTATGAATAATGCATTAGGTTCATGCATAATGCATTTATGTATATTCACTTTTGCAATGCTATGTATCATGTTAACAAAAATTATATTCGCTCAACTATTACAAGAATCTTGTCTCTCTACAATCCGATAATCATCCCATAAAGATCCCACAAAGATTATCAACAAGTGCCTGTAACAACATCTTCTGAATGCTATGATATTATTCATCATACAAATAAGCAATACAATTTCACATGAAATTACATTTTTTCTAATGAAAATTGATGTGTTTCTTCCACCCTTCTCAGATTATCAAGAAATTCATAATACAACCTAGACTCTACATGTACATGCACAAATCAAACAACTAACCATTTCTACTTTTCTATTACACTAATCTATTTTTAAATGCTAATGAATGCTTTTACATTCCAGAGATTTTTCCTGGCTAGAAATTCCTTCCAAAGTTCCATACTTTTGTCGTATTCATGGAAATTACTATTATATGTTTTGGGATTTATATATGTATGCTAGAAACATATTGTTCTTTAGGATTTGTATGCAGTTTGTGTTTTCCATCTCCATATATTATAAAATTAAAATTTTACAAAAGCATTGAATAGAAAGATTAGAAACCTAATAGTTAAAATCATTGGAATACATGATACCCCTCAAAAAAAATCTGTACCATTTTGCCTTTTCATATTTGTATGAGCAAAATACTATCTTACGATGAAAACATACACTGCCATAATAATTTGCATCTTTGGGTTTAAAAGAAACTAAAGAAACTTAGCTCCTAATACCATTATTGCTTCCATACATTTTCATCTGTCTCTTTCTCATTTGGAAATAGTATGATTAATGTTCTTCCATTCTTCTATCCAAAAAATATAAATCAAACCATATTAACCACACTTAACTATACTTTTTTCTATTTTCACTCTCATACCCACATCTCTGTTACTGCCACGGCTCTCCCCTCTTTATGTGTCCCTCCTCAAAAGTGGATTTACCCCCTCTTACCTTCTTTCTCTAGATATATTTCATGGTGCTTTGTTCTACCCCCCCCCCCCCCACCTCCATCTCTTTCCCTCTCTCTATATATTTCAAGGTACTTTGTTCTATCCCCCCCCCCTCCTTCCTTCCTCCCCCTCTCTCTCTCCCTCCCCCTCCATCTCTTTTCTTCTTTCTCTAGATATATGTCATGGTGCTTTGTTCTACCCCCCCCCCCTCCTTCCTCCCTCCCTCTCCCCCTCCATCTCTTTTCTTCTTTCTCTAGATATATATCATGGTGCTTTAGTCTATTCCCCCCTCCTTCCCTCCTCCCTCCCTCTCTCCCCCACCCCCTCCATCTCTTTTCTTCTTTCTCTAGATATATTTCATGGTGCTTTGTTCTAAAACTTCTACCCCCCTCCTCCCCCTCCTTCCTTTCTCCCTCCCTCTCTTCCCTTCCCCACCTCTCACTCGTTTGGTCTGTATCCCAGCCATAATTACCCATCCCCTTTGTCTTCTCTCTCTCTCTCTCCATCTCTCTTATCCACAGACAAGAGCAGGCTCAAATTATGACACCCATGTTTCCTATAATGCAATCAATTTATGTGACTCTTGCTTCTCCCCCACTTCTTCTCCCCCCCCCCCCCCTCATCCAATTCCAGCACCCCCTCCCCCTTCACTACTTTATTCCCCCCCCCCCTCCCTCCCCCCCTCTCCATCTCTCTCTCTCTCTCTCTCTCTCTCTCTCTCTCATTTAGCCTGTATCCCACCCATAATTACCCATCCCCTTTGTCTTCTCTCTCTCTCTCCCTCTCCCTCTCTTATCCACAGACAAGAGCAGGCTCAAATTATGACACCCATGTTTCCTATAATCCAATCAATTTATGTGACTCTTGCTTCTATACCCCACTTTCTCTCTCCATCCCTTTCCAGCACCGACAACAGACAAGAACACTAATACTCTCATAATTACAGCACCTAATGACATACGCTACCTCCGGAATACAGGGATACTTATAATATATAGGGTGCAGCCAAAATAATTAGCATAATATACCTCGGGTGAGGTTATATTTGGTAATTAACCTTTCTTGGTGCATTACTAGGCGGGATGGAAAATTGATCATTACTTTGTCTGTTCGGAGCCAGACGGGCGTTAACTCTGTGCTATAGTAATATGTATATGAGTTAAACTTAGAGTCCTTCTGGCACTGAAAGGGTAATAAATGAAATGGGGCAGTGTTATGATAGGCATGATACTAAAGTGTGTTTGGTCGTTGAGTATGAGGTCTGTGCTGTGCTGGGGCCTGGAGGAGATACGTGGAATCGAGTGGGTGGGTGTATATCCGCCACAAAGGACAAAATGTGACAATGATTTTAATAAAAAGAGGAGTAACAAAGAGGAAAAGGGAACATAAAGAAAGTAGGAGTGGGTCAAAGGAGATATTATTTGTTTTCTTTTCAAGTTATTTTCTTTTTTATCTCTCTCTCTCTCTCTTTCACATTTTCCTTTTATTCTCGTCCCCCCCCCCCCCCCATTCATTGCCTTTTGATTAGGGGCACATTATTATGCTGATGTGCCCCCCCCCCCCCAAGTTGGCCAATTAACTATGATTGTGGAGGAGAAGAGCTTCTTCATAAATACTGGTAGCAATACGTCATGTACAAGGCTTGCCAGGCATAGCACCAGCTTTGTATGCCGACTGGAATCTCGTCCTTGTTATTGTAATGCTAAGATATAAACAATTTGGTTTATCATACTGTCTTAAAAAAAGAGTGAATTTTCACTCTATATTCACTTTCTGTGAAAATCGATTGATTTTAGAGTGCTCTCTAAGAAGAAAAGAGTGAATGTTCACTCTATTTTCACTACATTTTCACTCTCCAGAGGAGTGACGTCCCTGATCACTCAATTTTTTTTTAGAGAGTACATTTCTTTAAACTTGCTTGGAAATACTTCACACAATGGCATGAAAAATTGCAAAAAAATACATTTTCAGAGGAGAGAAGAGATGAAAGCAAGAACTTTGAAAACATTGTAAAAATATTCCATTGCAATAGAATGCTAGACATATCAATCCCTTTTTTTCTTCTGAAAGCTATTAAAAGTAAGTGGGGAAAAGAAAATTGTAACCACAAAAGAAGTATGCAATTATGATTTACACACATCACAATAAAAATAAGTACACAGAATAACATTATAGCACACTTCAAAAATATAAATGACACAAAATTTGGCTTTCAACACAAAACGATACAGCAAGGCGAAAGCAATGAGAAATGGGGCCCTGGAACCAGCATAACAACTGGGGTGTGCATGCTGCACAGGAATACAGACAAGAATTGAGAACTGCACTCACATACTGTATGTGTCATAGATATTAATCCCAGCTGTAAGAATGATATGTAGGGTACATTTTTCAAAAGTCATTATTCATGTTAAGTATCCCCAACTATAGTTCAATTGTTTTTCTGAACCCCCTCCATAAAATAGGGCAAACAGTACATTATTTATGAAAGAGAAATGGTGTCAATCTTGTTTAAATTTAAAAAATAAAAAAAATAACAGAAAATAGGCCTACATCTGAATGTATGCTACCTATTTTTAATTGAAATTTAATTTAAAATCATGAAACAGATAAATGTAGCAAAATGTAATTAATGTCTCAAAATAACAAAATGTGATTTTTAAGTTGTAAGAATATATGGTTTGACAGGTACTGAATGTCTTCCTTTGCTTATATTTCTTTCCATTCCTTGTATTCCGAGATATTTTGGAAATAAAATGGTTACATTTTATGGTCTTATTTCAACAAAGACATTATACATGCAGAAGATTTACATGAAAATAAAGTAATAACCAAGTTAAATATTTCAACTTCTCCCCAATTCCAGACTTAATTTCAAGCTACCCCCACTCATCTAGCGACACTAGAGTGTGCTCCATTTTGAATGTGTGCTTTTCTGGAAATTAACATTTGATCTCCATGCATCTGTCTGCATCCTTTAGTCAGGCACACAGTGATAATGTCTGTTTGGGGCCAGAAGGGCAATAACTCTAAACTTTAACACAGAGGCTAACGCTCTTCTGGTTCCGAAAGGACGATATGATAATTTATGCCCAATCTTCCATAAATTTCCCCAATTTCAGCAGGACAAAGGATCTGGAGATTAAAGGGCTTGAGATACCGGTATCGCATTACATAGGACCCTGCTTGTAGAGGGGGTAAGGGAGAAGGGGCGCATAACAAAAGAATTTTATGATCTCCCCTGTCTGGCTTATTCACAGATTTCACACCACAGATCTGTAAGAAGGCTAATCTTCTGGAAGATTTTCTTCGTGAAAAATCTGTTTCGAGACAACTCTTTGACAAATCAAGTGTAGAACAAGATTTTCACCATGGACAAAACTAATTTTTGAGAGATATGACAAGAGAGGATTATTGGAAGTTTCCTTGGGATACTTGGAAAATGATATTATTGGAAACTAAAGAGTGGTCTTATAACAGAAACATATATTGCATTTTCATATCTCATAATCCAAATTTGAAGATTTAAGGATAGGCCCCATGTGGTGATATTGGATAAAAAAAATCATCTCTTAATTGAGAAGACCAACAATATTCATCAAGTAACTTGGCAGTTTGAATGTAAATGTGTCTTCACATGCTATCTTCCAGAAGGTTTACTTCAGGAAGAAATTCATCGAGAAGACATCTGTTTGTGTGAATAGGGTCATACACAGAGTGCCTTG